ATTATACAAAACGTCAGCAAGGCTAGATTAAAATGTTTTTTTGACGTAAACTGGGAAAAACTCATTTATCGACTCCTTTCTACATGTTCACTTTTACCCATAAACTGAACAGTTATTATGGCATAAAAAATATAATAATGATGTGAAACGATGAAGAAAAATCATTTATGATATAGAAGTTATGTTAGCGAAGTTTTAATCAGTTCAAAAGGAAATCGCAACTAGCTCAGGTGAAAAATAATCTTTTCTTAGTACTGAAATTACTTATATTTCAAAAATTGCACCTTCTTCGATGAATAATACGCGACTCAACCATGTTAGAATACAATGAATCGTTTTCTATCCTTCATTATATCTCTTGTCCTCTTACATATAATATGGATAAAACAGTAATATATAAAATATAATTCAAGCACACAAACATTTAGTTACTCTGAAAAACGAAATCGAAAAACTGAAATTAAAGTTGTCCATGCAAAATATACTCATAATCTATTGATCTTCTCATTTGGCCAGTGTAAGGCAGGATATCCTCCTATCTCTAAAAAAATTTTTGAACTGGCGCATAAAGTGAACACGAAACTTTCCAAAAAAACACTTGGGGTGAGAAGAATTTACTGACAAGTAGAAGACATTCCTTATGCTCAACTAGTGAATTATATGATATCAAAGTTTTGTATGAGAGAAAACTGAATCAGTTGGATTCTAGAAAAATCGAAATATGTAGCAATTTAATTATTTTTCATTTGAGCTAGTCGTATTTTATTTAATCTTGAGTAAGAAAACGATATTAAGTGAAGCAATTCTCTTTACATGTAAGATACAGCAATAGATATATGGATAAGAGAACTCACAAGAAAGTCTCCAAAAATTCAAAAGAATACTGATAAAAGAAATGATAGATTAATGCCTGTCTGAATCATAGTTAAGATAAAAGTTCAAGTCAAGTCATTTGAAAATTATAGAAGCACTTACACACGAAAATATTATACATTAAATTTTATGTTAGTGATGTCAAACTTAATAGAAAGCTTATTTAGTTGTTTCAATTATGAAAAGGAGAAATAACATCCTTCTAACATATTGAGTAAAATCAATGAATTCGATATCATGCATTCTCATATATTTGATCAATTCTTTCTCTCAAGACAAAGACTAAAGGCAACCAATGGGAATGAACGAATTATAAAATATCGAATATACAGGGTACTGATGACAATGGAAGTGATTTCATAAGAGAAAAGTAACTTGAATCTTTATAATATCTAATAAAATCTTTTATTGGTGCAAATGTAATTCTGTGATTTAAAGGTTACTATTTTTTCAGCATGAATTGGTTGCAAAATAAAAATAATGTGCTTTCCGCTTTTAAAAGAAAAAGAAATTATTGAAATAGATGACTGTTTATCCTTGACAGACATATATCTCATTCGATAGTGGCTATTTTAAATGGAATCGTAAAATGAAGAAATTGATAACTAAAACAACTAAGTTGATAGAGATGAAATCTGCCTAGTTCTAAACTAAGTTAAAATTACTTCAACAACTGGCACTCGGCATCGGTAGAAGAAATTTTATGTGCAAAAATATTTTACAAAGCAGTGTCATATCTGATTTTACAGTTATTATTCAACCATATCAAATTTCAAAAAAAGTTGCTTTTCAACCAATATTCAAAGAAGATCGATCATTATTAAATACTTTTATCTTTTATCAATATCCCAATTTGAAAGAATGTTCTTAAGCTAATATTATGATAGAAAATAAACATCCAAAATTAGGCATTCGTATTATCATATAATTTCTAAAAATTCAAGAGTTTCTGCATTAGTTTAAAAATTAAAAAAATAGAGTCAGTTTATAATAAATGGTCGCAATATTTGTTTTATATATCAAAAATGCATTTTAATGACTATGTTTTCATTATTCACTACAAACCATACATGATAATGGTCAAAATGATTGAGTAATGGAAAAATGGTCATTAAAATGACCATTTTTTCATTATTCACTTGACAGGGATCATTCCGATCATAGAACATAAATAATGGTGTACCAGCAATTGCATAAGCATAAGGTCGATTAAATTGTGATAAGATATCATATTGAATATTATTGGATTCATTAATAAAACTCTGTCCCCATACAGTCCACGATTGAAAATATTGATCAGATTTATCCAAAACATAATCATTTTGTTGTGCACCTGTATTAGTTCTTCCATCAAATCCGAATTCTGTTAAAAATGATGAACCACGTGTTTGTGTAATATCATTGTCAACCGCTTGAAATATCAGATCACCTTGTATATTACATGTTGTTCCTGTTGTTAATAGAGTTACTCCCGGTGGTAGAGTAACTGGTATTGGAAGGCCAATTGATAATGTTGTACAATACCAATGATAAGATAATACACTTAAATTAGCAGATAAATTACCACCAGGAACCGTATTAAAACCTAAACAGAAGAAAATCTTAAATTTTTTAATATTTAAGTTATTCTTATGTTTCTATGATTGATATTTCGAGTGAAAGATGTACCTCAATAGAAAATAGAAAGTACTATCGTATACTCATTTTGAAACTTAGCAGTTCAAGACTTTTATAAACACAAATATGGGCACATTTCATTATAAAGGATGATGGGAGAATATTGAATACATCAAATCCAGACCCAATGAGCTCTAGTTCAGTGCACTTCACATTCAATTTATATTGTAAGTTTTTAGCAAACTTACAAGAATATTAATTCTGTTATGAGTATGTTTTCGTTTATATATAGGTTAATTAAAGATTTACATAAACAGAAAAA